ACTTGGTTGATGCATGTCATCATATCCCAGCTGCATGGATCGATGCTCATAATGTCAATCACTAAATTGTCTGATCCAGACTCGTTTATTTACAGACCGCCATCATATAGCTGGAATATTGCTGAGTGCGGCATTAAACAACAAAGAAACAAAAAAACATAATAGTCGACCATTACTCAACTTCAACAAGTATTGTACGAACAGACAGGTACATTATAAGTTGACCCGTGAAGATCCGGGTTACAACAGTTCTTCAGGAACCCATGCTTGTCATAAAAGGCGACTATGTTTGTCACAAAAGGTGACTAACGGGATCGGATGGTCAGGCTTGCTGACTTGGTTGATGCATGTCATCTTATCCCAGGTGTGTGTTTTTGAAAGTCTTTTACTCTTCTACTCTTGGTCTGTTAGATCTAGACTTGACAAGGCTTTAAGTAAAATAAAACACCTAAAAAATAATAAATTCCAGAGTCATGGTGCAAGACTGTCTGCATGGCCACTTAATCGGTTTAGCGGACAGACGACTTCCAATTGCAAAAGCTCACGTTGACCATGTCAAGGCGAATCAGTAAGATTTTACACTCATCTCCTGCACTGGCTGTGACACTGCAGGGAGTTCAACACCTTTGATGTGTTGCATCCAGCATGGCAAGTACAGATCTATCACTCGGGCCGTGTTCGGAGCCTGCGAGTGCCCTATAACCACTTGGCTGAACGACACTGTCATGCGCGACCGTCAGTTGCCAGCAGAGGTATTCTACATAAAAAGCACCCAGATACTTACCTGGGTGAATAAATGCACTTGTCAAGCCCTCGCTTAGATGATATACGAAGATGTGTGACTGTTCTCTCTCTGTTCGTCTCAGATGTTTCCCCCGGATGTTGGTGTATGCAATTCAACTGTGCTTATCTCCCTTAGTTTGCGTTGGACACCAGTCAAAACGGACCGGCGTCAAATCGCCCCACTTTAGTTGAGCAGTGCTGCAGTATTCAAAATCCGGTAATTTCGGAGTCAAGCATACTGTGTTTTTAGAGCAGAGATTTAACCGCACTAATTGAATTTGGAATCGAACACATACGTTTTATCCATAAACATTATCCCCGTTTACTGGGTTTTCGGACTTTAAAAAACATTCGAAGTTTTCTCGCTGACCACAAGAACAACAGTAAAACAACTAATTCACTTATAAAAGACGACTTTATGTTAAAAACAAGCCACCATCTGAGTATTTACAACGTCTGTCTGACGCCACTCCCTTGTTATAGCGCGAGTAATCATGGCCACCCAATCCAATTAGTCATCTCTTACGACAAGCATCAGCACCTTTTACAGGAAGAATGGGTTGCTGAAGACCTGTTCTTCACAGCTTGATAAATCCTGAGATACCAGAAGTAGGTCATGGCGAATGTCAAGGTGTAATAGCTCCCATACGTCCACAGCATTTCAAAACATTTATAAGAAACAACTTTACAATCACCTGTGACCTTGGCCTCCTATATAGGTCACACAGATTCTAGCCCCGTATCTAGACCGTATCATTCATATTTACGTGTATGAGCACCATGCATTGCATTTTCGTGTATATATTTGTTTCGAACGTGTCGTTATTCGCTTGTCTATCCTTGCCATGACCCAAACCTATTGAAACATAATGTCTTTTCTGGAGAACAACCAATTCGGGATGTAGTAGGTATCGCAGTTTAATGTGCAAGAAACTTTGGCTTCAAATTTTTAAAAATACAATGTGACCAAAATGGTAATACAGTAAACTACGGTTATAACGAACTCAAAGGGGCAACTAATTTTAGTTCGTTATAACCGTAATTCGTTATAAGCATATATACAGCATAACTACAGCATATAGTCGGGACTAAAAAGTTAGTTCGTTATATCCGTTAGTTCGTTATAAGCGTGTTCGTTATAACCGTAGTTTACTGTATGCTTATCATGGAAATAGTGATTATTGACCATAAACTTGGCATTATTATCATATATGGACCTAACCATGATGATACTGATATCAACGATGAGATTGACAACAGTATAAGATCTCGACAAGTGATCACGTTATCCTTTGTTGGGATTGGAATATTAGTATTTAAACTTACTCGTTAGATTCGTAAAGGTAAAAATAATCCGAAAGCACGAGAAAGGGTACTGAAATCGACTTGGTAGACGCTTGGAGAGAATTGAATCCGCTTACTAAGCGATATACATGGAGACAAATCACCCCTTTAAAACAAGCTTGTCTTGGCTATTTTCTAGTATCCCACAATATGATCCCGTCTATTAAAAACGGAGACAGAACCTAGTTTTAAGTCCGATCATTCACCGATATCTTCTGCATTTATTCTCCCGACAGCAGCTCGTCTTGGCTATTTTCTAGTATCCCACAATATGATCCCGTCTATTAAAAACGGAGACAGAACCTAGCTTTAAGTCCGATCATTCACCGATATCTTCAGCATTTATTCTCCCGACTGCAGCTCGTCTTGGCTATTTTCTAGTATCCCACAATATATGATCCCGTCTATTAAAAACGGAGACAGAACCTAGCTTTAAGTCCGATCATTCACCGATATCTTCAGCATTTATTCTCCCGACTGCAGCTCGTCTTGGCAATTTTCTAGAATCTCACAATATGATCCCGTCTATTAAAAACGGAGACAGAACCTAGCTTTAAGTCCGATCATTCACCGATATCTTCAGCATTTATTTTCCCGACTGCAGCTCGTCTTGGCTATTTTCTAGAATCTCACAACATGATCCCGTCTATTAAAAACGGAGACAGAACCTAGCTTTAAGTCCGATCATTCACCGATACCTTCAGCATTTATTCTCCCGACTGCAGCTCGTCTTGGCTAATTGTTTTTAGAATCTCACAATATGATCCCGTCTATTAAAAACGGAGACAGAACCTAGCTTTAAGTCCGATCATTCACCGATATCTTCAGCATTTATTCTCCCGACTGCAGCTCGTCTTGGCTATTTTCTAGTATCCCACAATATATGATCCCGTCTATTAAAAACGGAGACAGAACCTAGCTTTAAGTCCGATCATTCACCGATATCTTCAGCATTTATTCTCCCGACTGCAGCTCGTCTTGGCAATTTTCTAGAATCTCACAATATGATCCCGTCTATTAAAAACGGAGACAGAACCTAGCTTTAAGTCCGATCATTCACCGATATCTTCAGCATTTATTTTCCCGACTGCAGCTCGTCTTGGCTATTTTCTAGAATCTCACAACATGATCCCGTCTATTAAAAACGGAGACAGAACCTAGCTTTAAGTCCGATCATTCACCGATACCTTCAGCATTTATTCTCCCGACTGCAGCTCGTCTTGGCTAATTGTTTTTAGAATCTCACAATATGATCCCGTCTATTAAAAACGGAGACAGAACCTAGCTTTAAGTCCGATCATTCACCGATATCTTCAGCATTTATTCTCCCGACTGCAGCTCGTCTTGGCTATTTTCTAGTATCCCACAATATATGATCCCGTCTATTAAAAACGGAGACAGAACCTAGCTTTAAGTCCGATCATTCACCGATATCTTCAGCATTTATTCTCCCGACTGCAGCTCGTCTTGGCAATTTTCTAGAATCTCACAATATGATCCCGTCTATTAAAAACGGAGACAGAACCTAGCTTTAAGTCCGATCATTCACCGATATCTTCAGCATTTATTTTCCCGACTGCAGCTCGTCTTGGCTATTTTCTAGAATCTCACAACATGATCCCGTCTATTAAAAACGGAGACAGAACCTAGCTTTAAGTCCGATCATTCACCGATACCTTCAGCATTTATTCTCCCGACTGCAGCTCGTCTTGGCTAATTGTTTTTAGAATCTCACAATATGATCCCGTCTATTAAAAACGGAGACAGAACCTAGCTTTAAGTCCGATCATTCACCAATATCTTCAGCATTTATTCTACCGACTGCAGCTCGTCTTGGCTATTTTCTAGAATCTCACAATATGATCCCGTCTATTAAAAACGGAGACAGAACCTAGCTTTAAGTCCGATCACTCACCGATATCTTCTGCATTTATTCTCCCGACTGCAGCTCGGGAAAGGGCTCCGGCTCGTGGTATAAACCCTAACGCGGGACACATAAACCCCGGTACCCCTCCAGATCCTGGTATAACTTGTAATATTCCTGTCGTGGCATTTTTCACACGATGTCTGGTTGAATGATAACATGCACGTGGGGAAAGAAACGGTTGTCAACCAATCATGGTCTACAAAAGGCATCAGATGTATTTATGATTTTATTGACAAAGGGACATTTTCACTCATTTCTACAATTCATGGAGAGATGTAACAATAATATTACTTATCTTAATTCTGATTCAGTCTACTAAAAAATACTATCGGAACCAGGGCATTCGGAAGCTGAAGAAACTGAGCTACCCAATTTTACCATAGATTTATTTGATCTAATAAAAGCCATGAAATTTTCTTAATATTTCTGTAAAATACTTATGAACAAACAAATTACTAAGAATCAACACTTTCAAAAATGGGAATGACTACTCAGAAGTGAAATTTGCGAAGCAGACTGTCAATCTCATTAAAATCAGATCTTAGTTCTCGCTTTCGCTAAACAGATCCGAGGACATCCCTTTACGGGTCACGTCAGACCGACCTTGCGCGAATTTTGAACGACCAATGGAGGGACTGACAAGAAGTCGACATTAGCCAATCAGAAGGCAGCTTTCTCGTGCTTTACGGCACTAAATTCAAATTGGTGACTACGCTTTGAAACATATTTTGACAAATTCTCGATTCAAAATTTGAAACCTGAACTAAAGAACATTCTGGAATGGCAAATATATGGTCTAGATTGTATAGATTCAGTCGTTAAACCCGTAACTATCGTTCGGTATACCCCGTGTTAACGTTTTCGAGGTTGCATGATTAGAAATCCCATTCCGACTGTCACTTTCATGATCTGATAAGCGACGCTCTGATTGGTCAGATGAAAGGTCGTTCTGACGCGACCCCTAATGGGATGTCCTCAGATCTTTGTTTAGCGGTAGCGAGAACTAAGATCTGATTTCATTGAAATTGAGCAGATTGTAAACATTACAATCTTATACCGTTTAGGTGTACAAATTCAAGCACATTTCAGCGGTTTCAATACCACATATTACATCACATTCTACCCACAAATTCCCTCTTTTATGAAATGGGATACGTCGACAGTGACTTGTGTAGCTAGTGCTCAACTGATAAAGAAACGATTTTACACATATTTTGGGAATGTCAATGTCAAGGTACGCCCAATCTAGTCCAAAATGGAAAACTGGATTAAAGGGAAAATAAACATTCATATGTCAAAAGAAAACGTTTTACTCGGGTATAGCTTACAAAACAATAATCTCGTAAACAACATAATCTTGGTGCTGAAAAAACTCCTATTTGACAAAAGAATTGAACACAAATATCCAATTTGAGTTTACTCAATGCTAAATACTAACAAAATACTTTGCAAATGTAAATTATGATAAGGGATATTTCAACAGGTCAAGCTGTCATTTACTCTTCTCTTAAAGTGCTTTTACTATGTGTGTAATTTGCGCTACTATAAAATATTAGCTCTCAAAACGTCGGACCGTTTTTCCTTCTTGGTGCGCCGGGCATTCCTTCATCAATGAGTGAGTATGGTTTTACGACGCAATAGTCCAGCAATATCACAAAGGAGAACACCAGAAAAATGGGCTTCACGCATTGTACCCATGTGGGGTATCGAACCTGTGTCTTCGGCGTGACGGGCGAACGCTTTTACCTCTGGGCTACCGTACCGCCCCCACACATGAGTGTGTTGGCCGAAGTGTTTGATACTTGGTGTTAATAATGGCACTATAAGGACATTATTTCGAAAAATACGAATCGGCGAAAATCATTCTGTTCCTTTATGATAAAAAACACATTTTCATAACGTGTAAATACTATCTGGTTGTCCCCCGAGAAAACATGCCGACTGTGCTAAAGATGTATTCTGCACGTGGAACTGATATATGCGGAATGTTCATCCATATTTGAAGACCTGGATGTATGTTTCCATGGCAACATATAGGTTACCGCCATGTACAAAAAGTCCAACCACTCGCCCAATACCATTCTGTGACGTCAGGATGTCTTTAACGAAGACGCCGGAATGTGACAGCTGCACCACAGTCTCCCTGCCGCTGTCGGCGATGAGGATGTCCTTTGAGCGCGTTGTCGTCACGCTGGAGGAGCAGATCAGTTCTCTGGCTTTAGTTGGAGTGTAGTGAAATACACCATCTCCCGCTGCAGACACACAGAGGAGAGACTTTGACCCCAGATCTGAGACGAGAATATTGCCATCGTGTGTTCTACACAGGTAGAAGGGTACTTGTATAGACTTCTGTAGCGTTGGTAACTTTGTATAGGACGCGAGAACATTCCCTCCCACGTCGAGTACATCAACACAAGAGAGAGCTCGACATCCGACTGCAAATGTTGACGGAGTCAGAGGGGCTATACTCCAGTACTCCTTGCCTGCAGGGATAGTCAGGAGTAGATTCAACCTAGGCATAGCCTCGACGATAACGATTTGTTTAATCCAAGGTAGAGTGGCAGCCACCACGTTGGTCTCTAACTTTGCTAGTCGTAATGGGAAGTGACCAAACTCGAGATAACTTGTACACACTTCATCTTCTTCTTCATAAACAGATTTGATACTGAAGTTGTTGGCATCCGTGAAGACGATGACAGTGACGTCGCTTACAGTGAGAACAGCAACGTCACGTAGACTCGGCTCACACACGTCATCGTCCATTGCAGCGTGTACGGTGTCGCGAAGCACAGGTTGGAGGGCGAGGTCAATTACGCCGTCTTCATCATCCCCGGTAGTCATGTTTTCTGCTGCGTCATCACCTTGTTCCCTTGTACCAGCGTTGTCGTCATCACCCTTCTCACTTCTGTTATCTCCGGTTTTATTATCGCCATCTAGCCTACTTCTGACTTCATCCGTTACAACAGAACCATCGCTCACGTCAACGTCTTCAGTTGCTTCATCCAACGTTTCCATGGCTGACACCGACGTTAATGGTTCAAACGCCTCATCTCATATAAACAAGCATCTGTTTCTGACGTATTTGTCCTCGAAGCGATGACACGTCGAGGCAGATCCTTACATTGAACACATCGGAAGGTTCAGCGCTGCGGAGTCGGAACGTGGCCCTTGTTCGGGAGGTATCACGTTTGGCACACACAATGGTGACGTGTATGTCTTCAGCGCTGCGGAGTCGGAACGTGGCCCTTGTTCGGGATGAATCACGTTTGGCACACACTATGATGACGTGTGTGTATCCAGCATCATCTCGCCATGTCTGAAAATATAACACCAAGTAATGTGTGAATTTCATTTTCGTGGTTCATCCTCTAATCAGTAAGACGTGGAGGTAATCAACGCGACAAAACAATCTCCATGATCATAAGAAGTCTTTGCTTGAAGCAGAGTCGACTGTTCTATTCAGAATTTGTTTTCGGCAAACCATGCTTGCCGTATAAGGAGACTATGCTTGTCGTAAGAGGCTAACGACGGGATCGGGTGGTCAGTCTCGCTGACCTGGTTGATGCATGTCATCGTATCCCAATTGCGTAGATCGATGCTCATGGTATCAATCAGTGGATTGTCTGATCCAGACGCGATTATTTACAGACCACCGTCACATAGCTGGACTATTGCTGAATGCGGCGTTAAACAACAAACAAACAAACAACCAAACAAAACAAACGATTCCAACTGCATCACAAGCACGTATTTATGAATAACTATCAAATAGTGATGATACCAGGTTTGGGCGACAAAAAGGAGCGTGTCCTGCCCCACCGGGCGCACCCGTCACAAACACTTGCAAAAACAAGTGCCAGCTTGATTTGGGAGGAAAGTCCGAAGTGATGCAGGTCTCAGATTTTTACCTCTATGGTGAAACCCACGAGCACGGGTATGGTGCTGACAAACCTCGAAACATGATCGTGGCGAACCCGGATTCGAACCCACAATCATAGGTTTCTGGCGTGCCCAAGGCAGGCAACTCTGTAAAGCAAATCGCGGCGCCTTAGATGACTGGGCCACACGTGACCCCCTTTCGATCTGAAGGAAACATCGAATGATACTGGATATGTACTGACATTGTTTTCTTTTTCTAAATTACATTATCATATTGCTTGGATCGATGCTCATGATGTCACTCACTTGCTTGTCTGACCAGACTCGAATATTTACAGACCACCGTCATATAGCTGGAATATTGCTGAGTGCGGCGTTAAACAACAAACAAATAAAACCGCTCGCATATATTTCAGGCATGGACAATGTGTGACAAAGCTCCTGTAAAATGACGTGACAGCAAAAGGCTTAACGCATTGTTCGCAGGTCAGGAATCGAACCCGGCCTTTGCAATGACGAGCGGACGCTTTAATCACAAGGCTTTCTCACGAAGCCACGCTGGTACCTCAAGGTCAAGGTCAACAAAACATTGCTAGGCTGACGTGTTGGGAGATGCTCATTACTATATTGCATGTAATATCGCCCATGCTACCCGTATCAAGGGACCCGTGAAGATTCCGGGGTAGAATAGGTCTTCAGCAACTTATACTTGCCGTAAAAGGCGACTATGCTTGTCGTAAGAGGCGACTAACGGGATCGGGTGGTCAGGCTCGCTGACTTGGTTGATACATGTCATCGATCCCAATTGCGTGGATCGATGCTCATGATGTCTATCACTGGATTGTCTGGTCCAGATTCGTTTATTTTACAGACCGCCGTCATATAGCTGGAATATTGCTGAGTGCGGCGTTAAACAACAAACAAACAAACAAAACCGTATCAAGGACATCCCCACCGAATAACCATTTCGTCTCAGCCACCATCAAACATGGGTGTATAGTTCCTTTTACCCAGAACTCTACATGTTGACTAAGTACATGTGGACCAGGTGTGTTTATTTGCAGTTCAGTACGATGTCACGTGATTGGTTACGTGGGCGTGGTCCTGGTAATGGGTTTGGGTACAAGCAAGCGGCAACCGTCAATAGTCTACGATTCCTGTGGTATAACAGGACGATCTGTAAATAGTGGAGTCTACGATTCCTGTAGTATCACAGGGCGGTCTGTAAATAGTGGAGTCTAATATTCCTGTTGTATCACAGGACGGTCTGTAAATAGTGGAGTCTACGATTCCTGTGGTAAAACAGGACGGTCTGTAAATAGCGGTGTCTACGATTCCTGGGGATAACAGGGCGGTCTGTAAATAGTGGAGTCTACGATTCCTGTGGTATAACAGGTTGGTATGTAAATTGTGGAGTCTACGATTCCTGTGGTATAACAGGACGGTATGTAAATAGTGCAGTCTACGATTCCTGTGGTATTACAGGACGGTCTGTAAATAGTGGAGTCTAATATTCCTGTTGTATCACAGGACGGTCTGTAAATAGTGGAGTCTACGATTCCTGTGGTATAACAGGGCGGTCTGTAAATAGTGGAGTCTACGATTCCTGTGGTATAACAGGAGGGTATGTAAATTGTGGAGTCTACGATTCCTGTTGTATCACAGGACGGTATGTAAATTGTGGAGTCTACGATTCCTGTAGTATGACAGGGCGGTCTGTAAATAGTGGAGTCTAATATTCCTGTTGTATCACGGGACGGTCTGTAAATAGTGGAGTCTACGATTACTGTGGTATAACAGGGCGATCTGTAAATAGTGGAGTCTACGATTCCTGTGGTATAACAGAACGGTCTGTAAATAGTGGTGTCTACGATTCCTGTGGTATAACAGGGCGGTCTGTAAATAGTGGAATCTATGATAAAAGTGGAGTCTACGATTCCTGTGGTATAACAGGACGGTCTGTAAATAGTGTTGTCTACGATTCCTGTGGTATAACAGGGCGGTCTGTTAATAGTGGAGCCTACGATTCCTGTTGTATCACAGGACGGTCCGTAAAAAGTGGAGTCTACGAGTCCTGTGGTATAACAGGACGATCTGTAAATTGTGGAGTCTACGATTCCTGTTGTATCACAGGACGGTCTGTAAATAGTGGAGTCTACGATTCTTGTGATATAACAGGGCGGTCGTTAAATAGTGGAGTCTACTATTCCTGTGGTATCACATGACGGTCTGTAAATAGTGGTGTCTACGATTCCTGTGGTATAACAGGACGGTCTGTAAATAGTGGAGTCTACGATAATAGTGGAGTCTAGGATTCCTTGGGTATAACAGGGCGGTCTGTAAATAGTGGTGTCTGCGATTCCTGTGGTATAACAGGGCGGTCTGTAAATAGTGGAGTCTATGATAATAGTGGAGTCTAGGATTCCTGGGGTATAACAGAGCGGTCTGTAAATAGTGGTGTCTACGATTCCTGTGGTATAACAGGGCAGTCTGTAAATAGTGGAGTCTACGATTCCTGTTGTATCACAGGGCGGTCTGTAAATAGTGGTGTCTACGATTCCTGTGGTATAACAGGGCGGTCTGTAAATAGTGGAGTCTACGATTCCTGTTGTATCACAGGACGGTCTGTAAATAGTGGTGTCTACGATTCCTGTGGTATAACAGGGCGGTCTGTAAATAGTGGAGCCTACGATTCCTGTTGTATCACAGGGCGGAGTGTAAATAGTCGAGTCTACGATAATAGTGGAGTCTACGATTGCTGTGGTATAACAGGACGGTCTGTAAATAAGGAATCATAATGATTCTATAACAGGAGAACATTAAAACAAGGTGTATTAAACTAAACATTATTTTACCAAAGTATGTACCTATACCTCCTGTGGTTCTCGCCAGCGCAGTAAGTTAGAAACATGAATAGACAAAGAACAGCTTGTTATTCGGATTAACAACAGTGAAAAGACACATTCTTTCACACTCATGATTTCATGAAAATATTTAAAAACTGTGGATATAACGTTACTATCTTACCACATATTTGGGCCGTCATTTCCTTCACGCTATAGAACGTTACAATGTTGAACAGGTCTCGTACAAAGACAAAAAAGCTGTTCATGCATTTAGATAGTAAGTCACAAAGAACTACTGACGCCAACTAGCTCACTACTGTCAACAGCCTTTTGTCAAGACGCGCGATTGTTACAGAAGGGTTTCCGGACTATAAAGGCGGCTTTCGGAGGGACGTAGCTTACAATTGAGTGTCTTTGTAAACACAAACGTTGGTCTTTGTACGAAAACTGATCAAGCAGGTGAACGCTCTTCATTTCTTAAGAGTGAATTTGGAACACTCGTCTTACTGTTTGCCTGTTGAAGCTACGACATGCTGGTTTGTATACATTTTACACTGAATACACCTCGTCCTGTGGACATGCACCCCTTTACAGCGGATTGTGTAACGTCATTTGTAGAGGTAGTCATCGACCACACATTAAAAATGCTGCTTAATCCTACAAAGAAACTTACAAGTTCTCGTTTAGATTTCCGATACAGTCGCGGTGTGGTTGTGGTGGGCAGAAAGAGAATTCCGTTGTGACGTTTTTCAGAATCTCACTACAATAAATTACGCTTATAACGAAGTGACGGACAAAACGAACTATTTCTTGGTCCCGTCCGTCTGCTGTATATATGTTTACAACGAATCACGGTTAAACCGAATTACAATTGAGTTCGTTAAAACGCCAGTTCCCTGAACTTCAGGTCTTCCAAACTTTTGGGTACGCTCGATGACTTCCGTCAGAAGTATATTCGGTATTCGTATGCACGCAAACCACGTTACATTTTCAGTACGTGTGCCACATGTGGCCGCCATGCGGTGTTCAACATCAAAGTAATGAGTTGGCCTAACAGCCACAAGTTTTGGTTTGTTTTGTTGTTTAACGCCGCACTCACCAATATATCAGCAATATGACAGCGGTCTGAAAATAATCGAGTCGGGACCTCACAATCCAGTCATGGACATTATAAGCATCGATCTACGCAATTGCGATGCGATGACATGCATGAACTAAGGCAGCGAGCCTGACCACCGGATCCCGTTAGTCGCCTCTTACGACAAGGATAGTCGCCTCTTATTACAAGACCTATTCTACCCCGGATATTCATGGGTCTATAGCCACAATGATGAAGCGAACAGTTGCTTTCCCTGTTTTGGAACCATCTGTTAAACCGTGGCTTATTTCGTTGGTAAGGTTGTTTAAATGTTGTTTATGTGAACAGCTATGTGAACAGACTACATATTCTATATAGTCCAGCTATACTCGAGTCAGGACCAGATAATCTCGTGATTGATATTGTGAGCAACGATCCACGCCGTCGGGGTAGGATGACACGCCGTCAATCAAGTCACGGAGCCTCACCATCCGATCCAGCAGAGGCTGAAGAAGACCTATCCTAAACCGGGATTCCCTTGGGGTTTCAAAGTGAATAGGACCCATATGCGATCAGGTGACTATTTTTGTTGGTTGCAAATAGGACCCTCATCGCATATCGGTCGACTGTAATCATGGGTGATGGTGTGAATGAGTGAGTATGGTTTTACGTCGCTTTTAGCAATATTCCAGCAATATCACGGCTAGGGGACACCTAGATGGGCTTGTGTGATAGAGAATCGCGGTTCAAGGAAACCATTGAAGTACTTAAGACAACGAGACATGGACACTGACGCGGGGCGTGTGGCGTGTGTGGAGGAGAGGTTGGGTGGGGCGATAACAAACAACGAGACATGGACACTGACGCGGGGTGTGTGGCGTGTGTGGAGGAGAGGTTGGGTGGGGTGATAACAAACAACGAGACATGGACACTGACGCGGGGTGTTTGGCGTGTGTGGAGGAGAGGTTGGGTGGGGTGATAACAAACAACCAGACATGGACACTGACGCGGGGTGTGTGGCGTGTGTGGAGGAGAGGTTTGGTGGGGCGATAACAAACAACGAGACATGGACACTGACGCGGGGTGTGTGGCGTGTGTGGAGGAGAGGTTGGGTGGGGCGATAACAAACAACGAGACATGGACACTGACGCGGGGTGTGTGGCGTGTGTGGAGGAGAGGTTGGGTGGGGTGATGTCTGTGACTTAAAAGAATCTGTTCATAAAAACGAAAATTGAAAATGATCGAAAAAAATACTTATTTAAAAGTTTGTTCTCATTTATGTTTGGCTGTTCCTCCATGTGTAAAGCACTACATGTTTGCGAGGACATTAATTGTTACGAAGTACGAACTTTTTAACCAGGCACAATATAGAGAATCTCACGCGAGGGTCTTTTGATATCAAATATATCAACAGGAGTTGATAAAAGTGGAAAAAAATCATAGCCTTGCCTAGGAGCTATTCCACTATTATCAACGGGTGTTGATATACTAGAATTTTATATCAAAAGACACGAGGGTGAGATTAAATTTATCATCCAACATCATTCTTCCAACTTTTTCAGTTTGTAGACAGTAATAAGCAGTGGTGTCATTTGATTGCGACGCCACGGTAGCCAATGACGTCACAATGGTCTGCACACCATTGTGATGCAATGTCATTGCAGCGATATCTGCAGTGTAGATATCGCTTGATCTCACCCAAGCGATATCTACTGTGGGAATCAGTTTTAGATGATAAATGTATTATTTTATTCATTTTATATAACACGATTTTTCACCCAACGAGGAACGGTAGCTAAACCGAGGCACAAAAGAAACTCGACTACATAACAGATAGATGCGAGACAGTCATACAGCATCCGCTATTGGCATGACAGGTGCCCGAATTGAAGTGGGTGAGGAAAAACAAACTTTTAACGTTATCGAGTGAGCGGTCAAAACTGACAGTACGATGCTATACAACACAGCCAGATTATATCGAAACATCTTTCCATGACTGCTTCGAGTGACAGGTAAATCACATTTACTTGATTATGATCAGTGACCTAGAATCTCTCAAGCACAGAATCTCTGACGTCACAGCACAATTGAGAGAGAGAGAGAATAAAATTAAAATACAAATACAAATACAAATACAAATACAAATACAAATACAAATACAAATAAAATAGGTCCCTGGGAAAACACTTGTTTTTCGCGTAACACCAAAATCCACGAGTGCGCCTGCGCCGGACTAAGGCGGATTTTCGCCAGGGAGCAGCCGGCGAGGGTAACGCCGGCGAGGGAAACGCCGGCAAGGGGACACGCCGGCGAGGGACCACCCGATCCGGCTTGGGTCCAATCACTCAGACGAGCGCCCGTCCTACAGCTAGGAACCTCGCCAAGTCGGCTTGTGTCAGCCTGAAAGCGAATGAGTTAAATTTTGACCGCACGTCGGCATTATAAGGAGAAAAGATGACTGTTTAGCTTAAATTCTTCAAAATAATATTTTAATACTGGTAAGACACCAGAAGAATGGTTGGATAAATTGAGTGTAATTAAGCCAATGTATAAGAAAGGTAAGCCTTTGTTACCAAACAACTACAAATCATTTCCATTAATACTTGCAAGATGCTTGGGTATTTTTTTTACTTTTCTTGTTGACAATATAGTCACTGCTTTCATTGAAGTAAATGGATATTATTTTATCTGAAGTCTGAACTGGTTTCAGAAAGAACTACTTTGCAACTCTGAGAGTGCTGGCGCCAGCCTACAGGATGTCAACAACAACCACACCAAATCAGAATCAGTCGTTCGGCAAGCAGCTTTCATAGAGTAAGATGAAATGTGGATTGAGAGATCTGGCAGCTGTGTTTGGATGATCTTATGTGAGAATTGACGATTTTGTCAAATGTACATCTATTGAGTAAGTTAAAAGTGTCCAAGTTTTTCCAATAGTTAGTGTTGTCTTTTTGAACAGGATGATATATACTATTTACCTTTCACTGATCATATTTCTAAACTTTTACTGTTTCTGAAACTGGTAAGCACAAACTACCAATAGAAACAGGTCGATGGGAATTATATCACGAGAACAAAAGATATGAACATTGTGTGACTGCCAAGTAATGGGTGACGAGTTCCATTCTGTATTCAACTGTAATTCTTCTTTAACCTGGCGCACTGAATGAGTTAATGAATACTACACACACTGGCTAAACATAAGCAGATATCGTAAACTGTTCACAACTGGTAAAGTAGGTACTTTACCAAAAACTCTCAAAGGTCCTCAGACATTTGAATGCTATACTGTGACGTATGCTACAATATATGTCACCAAGCTGTACATCTATTACTGTAGTTTTTGTTGTTGTACAACTCATGTACCTCCGCTGGTTTTTGTCGAGTAATAAGAGAGAGAGAGAGAGAGAGAGAGAGAGAGAGAGAGAGAGAGAGAGAGAGAGAGAGAGAGAGAGAGAGAGAGAGAGAGCGAACATTTGCTTTTCGCGTAACACCAAAATCCACGAGTGTGCCTGCGCCGGACAAAGACGGATTTTCGCCAGGGAGCAGCCGGCGAGGGAAACGCCGGCAAGGGACCACCCGATCCGGCTTGGGTCCAATCACTCAGAAGAGCGCCCGTCCTACAGCTAGGAACCTCGCCAAGTCGGCTTGTGTCAGCCTGAAAGCGAATGAGTTAAATTTTGACCGCACGTCGGCATTATAAGGAGAAAAGATGACTGTTTAGCTTAAATTCTTCAAAATAATATTTTAATACTGGTAGGACACCAGAAGAATGGTTGGATAAATTGAGTGTAATTAAGCCAATTTATAAGAAAGGTAAGCCTTTGTTACCAAACAACTACAAATCACTTCCATTAACACTTGCAAGATGCTTGGGTATTTTTTTCTACTTTTCTTGTTGACAATATATTCACTACTTTCATTGAAGTAAATGGATATTATTTTATCTGAAGTCTGAACTGGTTTCAGAAAGAACTACTTTGCAACTGTGAGAGTGCTGGCGCCAGCCTACAGGATGTCAACAACAACCACACCAAATCAGAATCAGTCGTTCGGCAAGCAGCTTTCATAGAGTAAGATGAAATGTGGATTGAGAGATCTGGCAGCTGTGTTTGGATGATCTTGTGTGAGAATTGACGATTTTGTCAAATGTACATCTATTCAGTAAATTAAAAGTGTCCAAGTTTTTCCAATAGT